AGATCTGAAAGTAATGTAGCACGGATGTTTCCTGAGCTGGGAACCTATTGGATAGCCCGGAGTCTGATGTGTGTACTCCCGATTTTTTTACTTAACATCTAGGCAGCGTGATTTATTTGTGACTCTGGTGTGATGAGCGAACCGTGGTGCCGTTGAGGAGCATTTTTTTTCGAAATACGACTCTCTTCCGGAAGGTCCCTCCTCTGGTACGACTCAGCTTCCCGTATCCCATCCAACCTACCATCTTCCTGAATTTTCTCAACTCCTTACCACTTCCCCAGTTTTTTACTTAAATTCTTCCACTTCTCGAATCCTGGAAACATAGCAAGCGGCTGCAACCACTTTGGATGCTACCAGCGGCTGTTTGGAGCTTCATTACGATCCGATACTTTAGGTGTTTCTCGATAGCCATTGCGAGGTAAATCAGGAATGGTTACAACCACTGCTTGAGCGCATCAAGGAAAAACCTGAAAGGTCTGTTCCCTTTTGCCAGTCTACTGTTATTTGATATTTTTTTGTTGGCGCAGTTCGGCTTTGTGAGAGCGTTTTGTTGGTTCCCATCAATCATTACCGATTTCCCTCGTGTAGAACTGTGAATTTTTGCGAAAAGGTGGAACTATTGAACTGGACAAATACCCCACCTCTCCCAAGCCGAACAGAGCTTTCTTGGGCACAGCTCGGCGACGGGGGGGGGCATTTTGTACTTTCATTGCTTCCCTAGTTCCGGTTTACAAGTCTCACTCTGGTGAAACCTGTGAACTCTTGTGAAGCTGGAGCAAGGTCGTCAAGCCATCATGGTAAAACCTGTCAACTCGAGAAGTGTCTAGATAGGTCGACACGTCGATGGGAAGTAGCAAAAGTGCAAAATGCCCCCCGTCGCCAAACAGCGCATTTTTTTGAAGAATGATTTTATACAATATTTGTCTTGCTTTCAGAGTTGTCTGTCCAATTATTGATATCATCGATTTGGATACGATGAAGTATGTTGAATCGCCGGTGTGCAAAGGTGGCCTCAACTGGGGACTTACTTTTAAGGTGTGTGGTTGGTTCACTTTCCATAGTTACCGAGTGCTCAACTAAACAGTTTTTAGTGGGACTATCCGCCACATACCTACTTCTCTGAAGACCACAAGAACTACATCCGACCACTCAGGTCGGCAACCATGGCCGGAGGCTTGTTCGCAATTGACCGCTCGTACTTCTTCAAAATCGGCACCTACGACGAGGGAATGGACGTGTGGGGAGCAGAGAATGTAGAAATCTCGTTCCGTGTGAGTATTTTGTGAGTACCTGGAAAATAACCGCTTTTCGGCACGGGAGAGACATTTTGCACTATCGATATTTCCTGCTGCTGTTAACGGCAACTGACAGATCTTATTTTGTCAAGACTTTAGACTCCACTAAAGCCTCAAGGCTAAGTGAGTCACTTTAGTTACAAGAGTTTACAGGTCTTTCATAAGGTGGCCTGTAAAAGCGTAACTAAGTAACATTTGCTGCCCCCTCCCATGCTGCCAGCGTCAGAGAATTTCCTGGTGCTCTAGAACTCCTGAATCACCCAAGGCAGCCGGCTAATCGCATGCTTCTTCATTCAGGTCCATCTCTAGATCTCCCTATAAGCTTTCTTTCCTTTGAGCTAAGCGTCATATAATGACAAGTGGACACGAACGATCCCGGACTCAATTTCAATTCGATATCCCTGACAAGCCTGAAATTCTATCCCTCCACTCAACGTCCCTTGGCGTCAGTCCTGTCCAGAAGAATGAAAACACTAACTTGCGCATTGACTGGCCCGTGCGAACTCTGTGTTCCGTAGAGGGCACGTCATGCATTGTGATTTCCAGCGAAGGGATTGTGTTCGGCCAGTGAAGATGGGAGTCGGGGGAGTCATACTTGCCTTTGAGAAATATGCTCATAGTTAATGAGTTTTTTCCGTTGCACGCACTATCGCCCACTCCTCCGTGCTGGCTGTAGGGAAGGGGAAGGGTCAAAAACATGAGTGGAAAAATTTTCGAAAAAAAAATGGGCTCAGCGGTATTAAGGCCGGAATATAGGAATGGTTGGTGGAAGTGTAGGTGGAATGGGGGGGGGGGTCGTTCCAGAACATGAAATTTTGAAGGGGATGGTATTTTGCAGGATTTTTTTCCATTGGAAGACGTGCTCTGGTTCCAAATCCCAGAGAAGGGAAGGGCGTGGCTGCGTACTTCATTCGAACATGGCGCAGATGCGTTTTTCGTGGGATACTTCCATCTAAGGCAAGCGTCATGCTATCTTGAGCTGAACAAAACAAAGTTGTCTCAAATCAGCAGTCTCACCAGTAGCGCAATCACCGCCTCCTTCAGATGTAGTAGCGTCGCGCCCTCCCCATCTCTCAGATAAGGAGGGTATCTCATTTGTCCATGTGGCATTTTCAATCCATTCTTGGATGACTACTTCACAACTAAATTTTGAATGGGACCTTTCTTCCTATTTTTTAGGAAATCTAGGGTTTTCTGAAACTTTTAATGTCGTTTTAACTACAGATCTGGATGTGTGGTGGTGAACTTGAAATCATTCCCTGTAGCCGCGTCGGACACATTTTCAGGTTTGATCTTCCTCTTTCTCGTTTTCATCTGTTATCTTCAACTAGATCAAAGTATACTGCTTAAAGTCAGGTGCTATTATGGCTGAGGGCGGGCGGTTGCTGCCAACGTCATTGGTGGAAGGGCTGCGAGAAGGCGTTTGGCCATTACCCATTTAGCCGCACACCGTTGACGTTGATAGCACTTGATCTCCCCAGTCATCGTGCCCACTGCGTTCAAGAAAAAGGCCTGGACACCAATCTCGAAAAAATTGCAGGAGAAAACGTCCCTATGGATTAGCGTCCGACTCTATGGGTAAAAACTCTGTGAGGGCGGCTCGTGTATGGCTCGACGAATATCTCGTAGGTTACTTTATCCACTTCACTATTTATTTATTTATTACTTAGTTATCTATCAAGTTATTTACTTTATGCACCCTACCAGTGGATGTGGTAAATTTTTTTCCTTACGGACTCCTTGCAGATGTTATATTTTTTTTCTAGTTCTCAGATTGCTAGGAGTGCTCAAAACTGGGGAAAAACCCGTGCTCGAAGGGAAAGGGGTAAAAAGGGGAAGGGTGAACAGACCTCGCCTTTCCTGTTCGTTTCTGATTCTCAACGCGATAAAGTTCGTTGCGTGGCCTTGCATCACCATCTCCATCTCATTAGCCTTAGATAGCCAAGGCGAGCAGAAAAAGGTGAAAGGGGGGGGGGGGTGTCTTGATAAAAATGGGCTGCTTACAAGAAGTCTTCGCCACCGGTCGCATGGGTGAAATCGAATCTCCATTGTGCCTTCCTTCTGGACTCATCCTTCCATTATATCATACTGAAATGGAGGGACGCACCCATAAATATTACCCAGCTCCGTCATATAATTTTCCTCTAGTTTTAAGTTTGAGTTTTCCTTTATCTTTTAAATCCAAAATTTGTTTAAAACCCATGTGCTCGGTTTTCATCGGCTGCTTGTCGGAGTTTTAACTTTTCAGAAACTCCTTCTAAAATTAAAGAAGCCCTGCAAAAAATTGGGGTTCAATTGAAAAAAAGCAATCTATTGTTCTCTTATAAATGAAATTCCAGCCCGAGTTCTTCAAAGCTCGACCGTACTTGGAAACGAGGACGGATTACGGAGACATTTCGAGTAGACTTGAGCTGAGGAAGACCTTACAATGCAAGCCGTTCAAGTGGTACTTTATTCATTTGCGTTAAAATTTTACTGCTACGTCTACCCCCCCCCCCCCCTTTGGGGAGCGGTAGGCGGGGCTCCTACTTTAATTGAACGAGGCTCGGGATCGATCACTCATAGGATATTTCAATTTCAAATGATTTTCATCTTATCTTGTGTATTAATTTGTCAAGTACACTACCCTGATGGAGTAGCCTGGCAATAGTCCGAGGGATTTTTAATGGCACTAGAGTTACCTAATCGTCAAAGGATATAAATACAGATAGCAGCAGTTAAAATTTCATTGTTATTTTGAATGAAGTAGAATGCGTAGCAGATCATTTATAGGGCTGAGTGATCGAGCGAAGCTTTATCTCATTCACTATGAATCATGAAGTGATGATTAAAGACACATGGTTC